TCTATAAAAATTCTGTACAGCGGTTTTATTCCTGAGATTGTATAGTGGGCCGGTATTTTGCCGGTTCACTAGTCGGATCCCTTTTCCACGCACATCATTATTCAACTTAAGTGGACGGTTTTTGTAAGGTTAGTAAATGTGTAACGGAAAATTTTTATGTTTCAACTATAGCGAGCATGATATTATAAATGTACCACCTCATAGAACTTACGGGGCTTGAGGTAGATTATCTTAAATTTGATTTCAAAAATGTATCTGTTATAGCAAGAGTAGTAAGAAGATATTTTAAGTTGCTTAATGTTTGGATCTGATGTTATATCGCCGTCAAACAAGAATCCAAGTGTAAGGTTATTGATTTGCTACATGTACGTGGTAAATCGCATGTTTCCTATTTAGGAAGGCAGTAAATTAAAATTATGGTTGTAATTTTAATAACATCATGCATTATTTTTAATTTATTTCAAAACGGAGGAGGCATTCAAATCGATCGTATGTTTTTTATACAATTATTAAATACTCGTTTCGCTCGGGTGCCCAATAGTTAATAGCCGATAGAGTAACTGAGCGGCCATTTTTTCCGACTTTAATTAAAGCTGTTAGTATAATTTCTGACAGTGAACCATAGTTCAAAAAGTACTAGATATACAATCAGTGACAAAAAAATGGCCTCATTTTATGAATGAGCGCTCATTTGAACACCTGAGCGCGCTTTCATTTTTTTGTGAAAACAATTTTAAGCATTGCATTTAAGGTTCCATTTTCATTGTTATATTATATTTATTTTAACTAGAATACCTAATTACCTAAACTCAATTGGTGACAGTTTTAAGAGATTTTTGCATGGGATTGTGTATCTAGTATTTTTTGATCGATGCAGTGAAAATATTTTTATCGGAATAAAAAATAGCCTTCGACGGTAATATAGCTTCCCATTAGTGAAATAATTTTCAGAATCGGATCACGAGTATCAGAGATTATCTGTATTGAAATTATTTCCAAAACTACTTATTTGGTTTTAAAAATTCTTTCACCAGTATTTAAAATTGTTCTTCATGGGATTTATATTACTACGTTAAAAAAAGGCAATTTTGCAACGCAAGTCGACGAAAAAATTAAAAAGAAAAAAATCGCGATTTGCGCGCAAAGTTTAGGGGCGTGTCGTTAGTGTAATAAAAATCTAAACTTCATATCTCTCTCTCTCTCTCTCTCTCTCTCTATATATATATATATATATATATATATATATATAGATATAAAGAGTGAACTGAATAATAAAATAATAACAAAGCGAAATCTGTAAACGAGCGAAGCGAGGGTACGTTGCCTGTAATTAATATAATAAACACAAAATTATATTTTTGAGTTGTAATCATTGTATCAAGTAGTGTAGCTCAACGTATGAATTGCTTAATACTTGTAGCGCTATCGGTTTTACTTTACACGATTATAGGAAAACTTTCTTATACAGATAACTTGTTCAAAGACAGTTTAATGATAACACCTAGACTAATATAAAAACATAAGATCAGCACTATTATTGCCATAGACCTACGCTAGTATTGCACAATGTATTTCTTAAAGTACAAAATATATTGAAACATACAGTGTAACAATACATTAGTATACTTCTGTTACAGTTAGCAATAATAGTGGTACGTAAGTATGTTCGAATTGATAGCAATAAAGTTGGTTTGAGGAGCTTTATTCGTTTACGTAAACTTTGAGATTGACTCTAACAAGGCTGGGAGAGGCGGGAGCGCCTGTGATTTCTACTCTTAAAATCCAATTTAAATGCATTCCTCTGTGCCACAGGAGCCTCGCCGATACGCTCCAGAGGCCAATTAACTTATTCATCCTTAACATTTCATTGCTCAACTCAACTTCAGACCAATCTTGGATTACGTTTCGCACTTGACCCGTTTGTTTTTATTAACTTAGTTCATTACAGTAGGTTTGCAATTAAAGTATACTTTTTGATTATTTATCGTATGTTTTTATGTAAAATAAGCGATATTGACTTCACTTATAATTTATCCTTGGTACTTGTATCAAGCGAATCTGAATGACATACAAATACTTGTGAATACAGAATTAAAATAAGTCACAATTTTGTGCCTCTATTAAAAAGTATTTGGACATACTTTTCAGGAGAAGTAAAAACAGCGCATTTAAAATAAATTTTATCAATGTTCCCAGAATTTAAACAACAAACGAATTAAGTAGTATTATATAGTATATTAGTAGTATAGTACAGTCTACATACACGTGATACGTTACGAGGTAAAGTTAGCTCTTTCTTGTATTAATGTTTTTTTTTTGTTTGAACTTAATACCTTATATCGAGCCACAAATTGTAGCTTTTAAAAGATATAAAATAAATTCAACCTTTTTTATACTGACTTCAAAAAAGGTGGAGGTGCTACTAGGTATATATTCGATGGATATAGTTGTAGGTATATTTTCTGTAAGTTTACCGATTTGCCTAGTTTAAATTGTAGTTTACTAAAGTAAATCCCGTAGTAGTCATATATTTAAACCAAGTCTGTATCAAAAAGAATTATGAAAATATTATACCTATATATATAAAGAAATTTAGCAAGTTAATTTTTACAAAGGTAGTACTTTTAATTGCTTACTTTTACTTGAAACTTTGCAAGTTTACCTATGTACGTATTTCTGATGGTTCATGGTAGTACTATAATTTAATATCATCGAATTAATTTGACGATAGAACCACGAGGTGGATAGTGTAAATCTGTAATGGCTACCAGTAAACCTTTCCAGTTTGAGCTCTTTTAATTTCTTTTGACAAGTCCAATGGACACAATGTTCTTGGACGTTAGACGTGATTTTGAGAACGTGCCTTTTTATTTCTTACTAAAATATTGCCAGATCAGCATTGTATTAACATTTCATAGTACTAAGTAAGTATGTAATGTAAAATATTAACAAAAAAAATTGTATTAAATTTCCTAATGTTTTGAAGTTAGGACAGAGGGAAATGAAGTTTTTGAGCATATTATTGCTGAAGGGAATCCCCTTCGGTCTCATTGCCTGTTAAATGAATAACTTCAAAACAAGACATGATTTCCATAAACGCTTTTAACGCTGCAATGAAATCTGTATTACTTTCAAGTTAAATTACTAGCCAGTTTAAACTTCCAGATGAAGTGGAGTTCGAAAATGCTATTATAAATTCAGCAGTTTACAATCACGGCCCTACTTGGCGATGGCAAAAAACCTTGGCGGGGAACTCGTTCTAACTTTTCCTATTTTTCTGCGTTAATTTCACCTGAACCCATTACAGTTTGCAACAATTCTTAGTGCGAACGTTTCTATTAGGAGCTTTAAATTGCATTTTAAATGACTTTTTCTTTGGAAATTATGTAATGTAGACATTGCGTAGATCCTTGCGACATAAGAAAATATACAATATTCGTGGTTATAGGAATAGATATTAAATTAAATTGTAGTTTCTAGCTTTCTGATAAATTGACAAAATAGTTAAATTTAAAACTTTTACACTTGATAACTAATGCTTTTAAGATATAATTAACATTAAATTAAAATAAAAACTTTTTAAGAAAAAAATAAAAACCGACTTCAAACAAAACCACTAAAAAGTAAAAAATAACTGATTGGTAGTTTTCATTTACTATACATACCTAATCAAATATTTTCGAAATCGGTGCCAGCCCATACAAAGCAAAGCACACCGACTTCGAAAATATTTGATTAGGTATGTATAGTAAATGAAAACTACCAATCAGTTATTTTTTACTTTTTAGTGGTTTTGTTTGAAGTCGGTTTTTATTTTTTTCTTAAAAAGTTTTTATTTTTCCCTTTTTAGTGTAGACAGTAGTAGCAAAGTAAGGATTCTAACGTGTTAGGCTTGTCAAATCAAACAAAATAAGCCCAAACTCAAAGTATCTACTATTAGCCATTGAAGAGTTCCACCTATCCACCTTCTGGCCTTGCCATCAGATCAGGTCAACAACACCGAACCACTGTACTATCAATGGAAATAGAAATACTTGCAAAGTTTCAAGTCAATATGACAATTAGAAGTAGGTTAAATTAATCATTAGTTTTTTTTCCACCCTTAGGGGTGGTATTTTTTTTTGAAATTTAAATGGGACCAATCTGGAAGTATACCCTTTCAAACAAAACAAAAATTGACCAAATCGGTTAATAAATGACGGAGTTCTGAGGTAACAAACATAAAAAAAAAAAAAACATACAGTCGAATTGAGAACCTCCTCCTTTTTGATGTCGGTTGAAAATATATCAAATAATATTCTCGTAAATTAAAATTGATTCTACCCCTTTTACTACATAATCATTATTCGGTATTCAATAAAAACGTTCCTTTCAAAACATCCTCGGACCCTATTTATTTGGAGATGCGATGACTCAAGCAGATTCGCGAGATATCTCGCCGCCGTCTGTGGATTACTTTGCAAGTCTTTTATAGGAGAGAATACCCGTAGGTATCATCACTACTTAAGGATATTAAAATCCCTTCTATTCGTGTAAGGAGCTTGTTTTCTTAACGGCGAAGCATTTATTTAGTAATCTCGATAAAATAAGGGTATTGAGTACATTAATTTTTTATTTGTTGTATTTTGGATTTTTTATTGCTGAATAATGTTTATTTGATATTCTGGTGCGCAAATAATGATTGATAATTTCAAATAATCTAATTAAATTGTTTGTTTGAATTTTGTACATAAAATACGATTTAAACGGCAATAAATTGATGCATTTATCTGTTTGACCTAATTAGAGACTCATCATAATACTAGGCTTGCTTTTATCAGGCATTATTTTCTGGCAGTACAAATCTTTAAAGCATCCACTGTAGAAGTTTAAAATACTTTAGATAAAATATAATTATAAATATACTTACATTATTCTGGTAGTGTATACCTCAAAATGCGTAAATTATTATTAATTGTCTTAATTGCATTAATTGTAACTACCTTCATACAAGCAAAACCATGTTCAACGAGGTAAGCAAAATTTAAAAAAATAAAAAAATCCGCTTTTGTAGCAGATCAAATTAAAAAATGGAAAATAAATTATTGTTTAAGGAACTGTAAAATACGCTTTGAAAATGAGTTATGCCTACAATTAAGAAAATTCTAAATTATTTATTAGTATTTATTATAATGAAATCAGTCATTGAAAAGTTTGGAGATTTATTATAAGCGTTAGCGATTCTCGAAATAACTAATTTGGAATCCCAGTTATTTTGAAAATCAACCAACGATATTGTAAATATCGTAATATTCCCCCTCGTCCTTCTTAAGTATAAAGCCTACCTATTAAATACATACCTAATCAAATATTTTCGAAATCGGTGCCAGCCCATACAAAGCAAAGCACACCGACTTCGAAAATATTTGATTAGGTATGTGTATAGTAAATGAAAACTACCAATTAGTTATTTTTTGCTTTTTAGTGCTTTTGTTTGAAGTCGGTTTTTATTTTTTGTTAAAAAGTTTTTTACTGAAACAAAAGTAGCCTAAGTTACTCCTTATAACATCAACTACCTATCAGTGAAAGTCCCATCAAAATCGGCCCAGCCATTTCGGAGATTAGCCGGAACAAACAGACAGACAAAAAATTTTAAAATTGTGTTTTTCTTATAAATACCGTATTTAATTCAATATGCATTTAGTAAAATGCTGTTATTTTGACATTACAAACAGATACATCAATACGCTAAAACTACAAAAAATATAAACTTTCATCCCCTATTTTACGCTCTTATGGGATGAATTTCGAAAAGGCTAAAACACGTATTTATTTAATTGTAGTGAAGAGCATTAATACCAAGTTTCAAGTAATTCTGATCAGAAATATTTTTTGTGTTGTACTTATTATAACGTCTTGTACCGTACGAAAAAGATTGTCTCCCGCGGTAAAAAGTAAGTCATTCTCCAGCCCTCCAACTATTTCCACACAAAAAATCACGTCAATCCGCCACTCCGTTTCGACATGAAATAATTTTATTAATTAGAAAAACATATTTTATAATATTTTTAGAATACGAATACAGTTCGGTATACTATATTGTAGTGATTGCATTTCAATTTCTTCCAGGAAACATTGTAGGAGCGAAAGTGACAGCAATGAGGTTAGTACAATAACAAGTCTTGTAAATTATTGTTTATCTATTCAACCGACTTCAAAAAGGAGGAGGTTCTCAATTCGACTGTATTTTTTTTTGTATTTTTTTTTTATGTTTGTTACCTCAGAACTCCGTCATTTATTAACCGATTTGGACAATTTTTGTGTTGTTTGAAAGGGTATACTTCCAGATTGGTCCCATTTAAATTTCAAAAAAAATACCACCCCTAAGGGTGGAAAAATAGCTAATGATGAATTTAACCTACTTCTAATTGTCATATTAACTTTAAATTTGCAAGTGTTTCTATTTCCGTTGATAGTACAGTGGTTCGGTATTATTGACCTGATCTGATGGTAAGGCCAGAAGGTGGATAGGTGGAACTCTTCAACGGCTAATAGTAGATACTTTGAGTTTGAGCTTATTTTGTTTGATTTGACAAGCCTAACACGTTAGAATGCTTACTTCGCTACTACTGTGTACACTAAAAAGGGAAAAATAAAAACTTTTTAACAAAAAAATAAAAACCGACTTCAAACAAAAGCACTAAAAAGTAAAAAATAACTGATTGGTAGTTTTCATTTACTATACATACCTAATCAAATATTTTCGAAATCGGTGCCAGCCCATACAAAGCAAAGCACACCGACTTCGAAAATATTTGATTAGGTATGTATAGTAAATGAAAACTACCAATCAGTTATTTTTTACTTTTTAGTGCTTTTGTTTGAAGTCGGTTTTTATTTTAATTTTACATTCAATTTCGCACAAGTCTAAATAAGTATTGAGCGCTTTACATTACATTTGTTGTAAATAAGTACGTCAAAGTTTTAAGTGTAGGAACTTCTTATCAGCTTCGACCTACTTCCATGTCCTAAAATGAAAATATTACACACTAGCAACTCACTCTCGCTCCGCTCGAGTTTGTCCCTAGTTACGTTTTAACGTTAAGTACTTATAGGTTTCTCAGAGATTAAATATTTTTCGGCAGTTAAATGTATCCCATATGTTGACCTGGATAACCAGCTATCATCATACCAAATCAAAATCTGTCCAGTGGTTTACCTGTGATGCGGTCATAGACAGACAGACTCACAAAAATTCTAAAAACTATAGATTCGACCTCTGCATCGATAATAATGTCTATTTCAATAAGATTTTCCAAAAAATATTTAATGTACAGATTCAGCGTAGTTAACATTTTATCATATGTATAGATTTGTAATATACCAATGATCAAAAGTTCTGATATAACTTAGATATATATATTGTTTAATAATATTACACAGTTTTAAATTATGTTTATATCAATTTAATATGTTTATTACAGACTTAATATGTTTAGCTTAATATTAAGTAGGTACACTACGTGCTAATATTAATTATATTGATAACTTTTGTCGTCATGTTAAGTCTCGTATTACGCAAGAAATGTTTTATCGCAACATTTTAGGTAGATTACCGATATACATATTATGTATACTAACTGGATATTTTACCTTTAGACTAATAGCAAGGAGAAAAAGAAGTGCGAAGATGAGTCTTCATCATCATCTTCTTCCTCGTCATCTTCATCATCTTCATCGTCATCATCTTCATCAGAAGAAGATGGCAATAATTGTAACAGGGTATGATATCCATCTTTTTTTAAATTTATAAACATCGATTATTATTTTTATTACCTTTCTGCAAGCAGTTTCGTTTATTATTATTTTTTTAATTAGTTTTATGAACTATCATTTAGCTATTTACATATTTTATTCTACATTCGTCGGGCATGCGACTGGATAATGAGCATTTTTATTTTCTATAGCATATTCCTAAGCTTTATATACTCAAGTATATAATGCTAGTAGAACTACAAAAACTCTAAAATGGTAGGTTTCATACAAACTTTTATCTGCTGTTTTACCCCCTTATGGAATGAATTTCGAAAAATGCGAATATTTAATTAATTGTATTAAAGAACATTAATACCAAGTTTCCAGTAATTCTCACCTCATCAGACCATAAATATTTTTTTGGCTTTTATTATAACGTGTTTTCCCGTGGGAAGTAGATCATCTCCCGCGGTAAAAAGTAAGTCATTCTCCAGCCCTCCAACTATCTCCACACGAAAAATCACCCTAATCCGCCAAGCCGTTTTGACGTGAAATAAAGACAAACAAACACACTTTTACATTTATAATATTAGTATGTTAGTATGGAAGTATATATTTTATGATAGAGGAGGTGACGAGTTATATCGTCCAGAGTAAAAAATTGTGCAGTTTAAATGTATTAGATCTTAGTAGATCTTTTATATTTCTCACTCTCTGTATTAGGTACATACCTACTATTAGTTATGTTTATTGTGTGCTAGACTAGCGTTTACCGGTGGAGGTGTATTACAATGTTTAATGAAATAGAAGTGTTGTCGTTTATGTTTTAATTTTAAAGTATATGTTTTAGAATAAGGAAAAAGATGATGACAGTTCTTCATCATCTTCGTCCTCATCATCTTCTGAGGAGAATCACGATTCAAAAAAATGCGCGGATTCTGAAGAAAAATTAAATCATCACGTAAGTACAAAACCGCTGAATAACTTTAATATTTAGCGGATTTTTGAGACTATGTTCATAATATTATGCTACGTTTTCAAATAGTAAATATACTTATATTTTAATTTTTAAAATAATCTTTCTTTCATTTCAGCATAAAAAAGCAAGTCATTTGAAGAGAAAAAAAGACAATTGAAATGCTAATAACAAGAATTTTATCAAAACAATAATACTTTTATTAAGTTCTTTTATTTAAAAAAATACGTGTTTAACATTATAACGTTTATTAATTGTTAAAAATTAGTGTGGCCTTCAGTAGCTTATTGCAACAGATTTGTAGGTATCTCAGGGTAGAGATAGAATATAGCTTATGTCTAAATCTGGGTCATGAACAGTGCCTATGCAAAAGTGATAACAGACCTATTGCTATTTGACCAGATGCTATTTGAAAACGACAAACTGCGAAACACGTTTGCGTATACAATATTTGTAAGTACTATGATGTGAGTACACTTTGCTCCTTCTAATTATATTATATTGGGTGAAATTTATCAAAATATATATAATATTTGTCTAACACAAATAAATGAACCTTAATCTATAAGTATATTTTTTTCTTTCATTCTTCCCGGTCAAACAAATCTAGTCAAAATATTTTTTAATTACTAACCATCGTATTGAGTATATTTGTGTTTAAATATAATACTTTATCAGAAATGTGGACAGCAATATTAACATGTTACGAGTAATAAGCGATGGGCATTTTAATTACAAAATAGCTGTCATGCTCGTACTGTGTTTCCCCGAATTTTTCGTTTAGGGGAGACATTACGTCAAAGGATGCTTTAAATATTACTGTAATTACAATTAATTTGATAAACCTATTAAAATCGATATCGTGGAATATTAAATTTATTTTACTAGTTATATGAAAATAAAAAAGTATTTTTGAAATCACAAATTGGTCAGTTATTTCGAGAAAATTAGCCGTCTTTCTACCGAACGAATGAAATCGCTGAAGCGAGTCTGTATTGCGAGGTTTACTAACGAGAAATTTACAATGATGAACAGAGAGCACTCCGTATTTGTAATAAAAAAGGTGTGGTGGTTGTTATGAGTCTAACATAGGTTTCGACTTTAATAACCACTTCTAAGTTTTTTCAATTATTTTGATTGATTTATATAATTTATCAAAGTTTAATATTCTAAAAATCAAAAATAATTTTTGTGCACAATAAACCTTGGTGTATTATATTGAATGTTAATTAAGTTTTTATTCAATTATAAGCAGTAGTATGTGTAATATTATATATTACACATTGGACGATTTCAAGGTTTTAGCAAGGTTATTTATCTATTCCAAGAATATATAGAAATATTCAATACACCAAATCATAATATAACGATAACTGAGTACGTGTATGCGGGAAGTCGTCGAAGATAAGCGTGTGGTTGATATCCACTGAACCTATTCATATAATGACGCGTCCGTTCACACAAATAGTTGTGATCCATATTATTCTCCAATTGCTATTGAACGTTGATACCGCACCATATTCGGTTCAAGATTTGAAAAGTTTATTTGCAAACCCTATAAAAGACTTTGTAAAATTATTTACGCAAGAAAGTCCCCAAAAACCGAGTGAAAGTGTAGAAAATTCAGAGCATGGTAAGCGAGAGCGTGAGAGTATGATAGACGCACCGTTTAACGGAAAGAAAACGTGCCAAAATGGAGGCGAGAAAGATATAGATGGAGTATGCAGAACACCTTTTTGATTTCATAATATGGACTAATAGTAATAAATGCAGCGCAGTTAACTTCCTACGATACGTAAAAATGGACGTAAAAATATTGTTCATCATCACGGTGCTTGTGCTTTGTGCTGTTAATACAAGTGAAAGCGGAATTGTTTTTAATTTCCACGATAAGCTTCGAGCAGCAACATCATCTACTACAGAAAATTTGCTTACTGGTCAAATTATACGAGTGCCAGACCTTGATTGTCCAGACGGATTCCGACGCGACCAACTAGGCAATTGTCGACAGAGATTATGAAGGTTTGTAAATACCAATGTTGTTTTTATTGTGCTTAAAATTATATTTTTCTATCTCATGCGAACTAGCAGGTTGGAATCGTAAGGAAGAGTTTAAATTTATATATACCTATAACAATGAACAAAATTATCGATGCTACTACTTTTTATTACCTACTATATTCTCCAACGTATGTGAAATAGGATAGTTACCAAGTCGATTTTTTTATTTTTGTACTCCCAGACTGTTCCCATCATAGTTACGGGTAACCTCCCCTTAGGCACTTAGTTGTCGTACAGTGTCGAAATACAGAGCTCCTTAGTCAGTACACATATTGTTTGTGGCTATGAAACTTAAAAACTTTAAAAAAATTTACTACACTAAGTCATAGTCAAATAACATTGCAAATAAAATTAAATTCAAACATATGCGTAGCCAAAAAATAAAAATGACGTCATGTTTTCAACAAGGATTAGGATAGTATTTGGAGTTACTTTTTGTAAGCATTGAATAATTACTTAAATATTATTTATTATATTGTATTCTAGATGGTTTTTATCTACTCATGGAATTTAATATATCGTATGTCTTTGTAATTGTGCCTAAGGCCAAAAGGCCAGAACAGTTATCATTCTGTTGATTTAAGTAAAGTAATTCAGTTTTGCAATATCTATAGAAGCTTACACAAGTTTAGACATTAAAAATTATAAAATGAAGATTTTGCACTGTTTTTGTATTTTTACATATTTTCTGTTCTTTTTACAGAACGCTAATGGAGGGCTAGTTAAAGGATTTATTGAATCGGTTCATGAAAAAGCTCACAAAGTACATGATGATATACGAGATTTTTTACATCCCAAAAACAACGAAAACGTCCCAGCATATAATAGCAATAACGAGGACAATAATGACGGTAAACTGATTTTCGTATCGTCTCCAACACTCCCGGCTAACGCAGAAGGAACGACAAATGATAATAATCTCAATCGCGATGTTAAATCTGAAAATATTAGTGAAGACAAAGTAGTTTTTGTAGTTTCCTCAACTACTGAGGTTGCAGCTGCTACAGTGACAGGTTCCACAACCACAGAGAAAGAAGGCAGAGAGAATTTCTTTGGAGGATGCTCAACTGGATTTAAACGAACTGCAGATGGAAGGTGTAAGCCTACTTTCTAATAGCAATTTGTTATTTCATTTAAATTGATTTTATGATTAAATTATTGTTTTTATTATGTTTTTTTTTGTAGTTAACCTATTAGTATTTCACGTAATTGCTTTTGTTAATTCATAATAATGATGTTCATGTAATTGTAAATATGATAAGAATTTGCACACAAAATTTAAAAATAGGTACTCTCTATATTAGGTATGCGTTTTTTTTGTAAAATATATCTTAAAGGATACATATTTACTCACACTCTAAAACAAATCTTATATATTTAACAATAGATCCTTTCTTTTATTCTACTATTAAATCATGAAATTTATAATATTTTATTAGTCAATAATATGTAATAAATAAGTTACTTAATATGATACGATTTAAAAAAAAAGTAAATGTACCAGACATTGATAACAATTCTGTTAGGAAATAAATTTAAAACTTTAGCATACATGCTATGTATAAGTTATCTCGTAGCTGATTTTGTTCAAGGATATTTCGTAGGACTTCTGTAACAATTTCCAAGTAAACTCTATATTTTTACACCATAACGTAGGCTGAAATGAAATATGACAAATATAACGCAATATAGCTTTCAAGACAAGACAACGTTAGTTTATGATATTTTTATGATAAAATAATAAAGTTGATCATCACTATAACTTAATAGAGATAAAATGCTCTTTACAGATTATAATTTGGTTTAAGAGATAATGAAAATGAAAAATGAAAATCGCTAATTTACATATACAAATAAACAGATAAAATAATATAGCAATAACTGAAAAGGTAAGAAAAAATGATGAAGGAACATAGTATTATGCAGTCGGAGACATGTGTACATACACGTAGCAAGGCTCGCAGCTAGTACAAAACATGTACATCATATGCAGTGAAGAGAAAAAAAAAACAATCTTGAACGGCTCTACTTCACCGCATAATAAAATGGAATAGAAGTATTTTTAATGCAACCTGATTAATTTTCTTTGTTTTTCGCTTTTTTTTTGTCAGCAACTACTAGGAGTTTCTATGGTACATTCTGGAATGGGGTCGCATGAGGATCTAAGAAAATCAGTTAAAATAATTGTCAATAGATGGCATTATCTGTATCGATTTGTTAACACTAAACTAAACTTCAATAGTATTAAGAACATGCCTAAATGAAAGGAAATATTAAACTCATTAAATTATATTTTTGTTATTTTACTGATTATTGGAGATTTTTTTGGCTGATTATAGCAAATAGCAATCAAGTGGTTTGTAGTGCATAGTCACAGATGGCGCTTTCAGATGACCAAAAACCAAATTTTTATTATGTATTATGTATATTATGACATCTGTGATTATGGTATCAAAGAAATAGGAGGAGAAATCCAGATGGTCTTCTGACACCCACAGGCTGTCTTCCAGAGATTTTTAGCGATTTTCCTTTTGGCTTTATGACGACTGGATTACGATATATCGGTGAGCTCTTTCACCACTTATGTAGAAATTGTCATATTAATAATTAAATTATGTTATACCACCGATTTACCTTTACTTCACTCGGGTGAGTATGAGGAGATAGACACATGCAGTCGCGGACTTTTCTATAGGTATTTTTAAGACATTCAATTTTATAGTACATTGTAATGGCGTATATCTTAAGGTTTAGCCAGCGTTAGCGTACGAAAATAGATTTTTTTGACAAAATACCGTATCGATATTCGTTATGTGGTTTTAAACAATGAGCTGAGGTAAGCGGAGAAACAGGCAGAGGTAGAAAGACTTTGTTTTATACTTTGTATAGATTTAGAGAAACAACTTGCGCTGGAACAAAATTTGAAAATATAATGAGAAAAAAAAAAAATATGTTGGGACATTAACACACAGCACTATCTAGTTTCATGGTAAGCTACGAGGCTTGTGTTATGGATACCAGATAGTTGATACTGTATTATATTGTAGTAAAATGAGAGATTTTACTGCAACAAATTGTTGTGTGTGTTTAAATTGAATTGAATTGTTAACCTTCCAACTAGGTAATAGTTTTATGTAACAAATTATTGATTTTATGAACAACAACTTGACCAAAACAGTTATTGTATTTTCCTTGGTAATAAGAGTTTTTTGTATTAAAAGGTACGTTAAAAATTAATCCGTAATAAGTTGTCACTACAAAAAAGTTTAAATCCGATCAGTACTTTTTGCGTGAAAATCAAACAGATATACAGACGAAGAGACAAAAATTTCAACAACTATGTGGCTTATAGGATTTACATTCTGTACACATTAAGTAACAGTCATTTATCATGTGAAACTGTTGGCGATCACGTTACAATTTTTTATGTGAAGAATTAAGATATTCAAAGCTTTAATTCAAAGTTAAAATATTGAAAAAAAATTATGTCGAAGTTATTCAAACATCCCGTTGAAATCTTCACTTCCGGTTACGTAAAAAGTAACAAATTTGAAATTAAATTAAAAAAATAAAAACTGCATCCTTTTAACTTTCAGAAACGATATTTTTTAGATATTTTTACAAGTTGATTGATACAAATAATAAGCATTCAAAAAGTACGGATTTCATACTTCGTAATTTTTAAAAGCTCATAAGTCGGCAATAAAGCATCATACGAAAAAAATAATGTATTTGCACATCCATGTCCACTAGAACTACAACTGACCAGAGTATGAACAATTCTCACAACCTCACTTTATTTTCGTTGTCCGCTTCACGTGAAATGCCCCATGTATATATATATTCTTTCTTTTAGTTTATTAGATTGAGTTTACTACGTAGGTATATCTATTATAAAGGAAAGTCATGGGCATTTAGTTCAACACAAGTGATGATTTTTAAATTAGGAATAATAAAGGAATCATACTTCTGACTACCTTATTACTTTAATTAATATTTCCAAAGATATTACATTTCTACACCTTTATACAATTTTAAAGATGTAGTAAAAAAATTAAGTATTTTCATAATACTATACTCTTTTAAGTGGCAATACTTTAAAGTCTTCATGTTTCTCATTATTATTATAATACATAGTTTTGTTTTGGTTATTTAAATTATTGACAAACGGTTCACCTTGTCGTGGGACATTCATTAAGTTTGTTGGAGTAGTCATTGAATTCGAATATACAGGTTTGCTATTAACAATAACTATATTATTATTTCCTGGTCCATGACCAATATTATCAAAAACATTCATTCCTTCATTTGCGTCCTGATTTTTTAAAGTAATCCCTGTATCAGAAAGCGGCAAATTTTTGCTGTAATGAGTATACATTGAACTATCAAGTTTTGGCTTTCCAGCACTATGTTGAATATGTTTGTGTAATGTAGTGGGAGATCGGTTAAATTCATATGCATTGTCATTTATCATAACTATGTTACGATTATTAATACCATTTCCTATACTATTTATAGTAGATGTCTGCCTGAAATTTGGTGTATATATTTGTTTTGAATCAGGATTGTTAATATGAATATTAGATGTTGCAGGATTATTGATGTCATCGTTGCTTCCAACAAAATTACGCCTCGAGCCTTTATTCACTATAAGGACGTTATTATTGTCTCGACCATTGCCAAAATTCAAGATCTGGTTTCCATCAGCTATAGTATATCCGTGATTTGAATTTGCAATATTATCATTTCCAATTCCTATGGTATTTTTATCAGTTGTTCTTCTGTAGTTTGGCGAATATTGTCCTGGTTTTGGGTTGTAAAACTGTGGTGTTTCATCGGTACCGTACCTGTTGTCTAAAGTGCTTCCATAACCTTGAATGTTAGGTTTGCCTGAATTAATGCCATAAATGCCATCCATGTTTGTATTTTCATCAAATCTTGGCCTTGATCTTTCATCCACTATAACAGCGTTATGTCTGTTATGGCCGTTGCCAATATTCACATCTTGATTTTCATCTACTATAACGTATCCCTGATTTGGATTTGTATGTACTCGTAGTGTCTGAAAATATACAGAATAACACCTTTATCTAAAGTTAACTTATACATATACTTTTACTAACCTTTTAACTTAAATAACAGCAAATATTCACGTAAATGAATATAAATTGATTAGTATTTTTTATTAGATATTATTTATTATTTTTCTTTGAAATTATCGACTTTGAAATCATTTAAATGTAATTATTTTACCCTTAATAGACTCCATTGGATACATGCAAAGAAAGTAATTGTTTTTGAAGTAGTAGAAGTAAGTAAATTAATAAACTTATGCAAAACTAGCAACTCACCCTCGTTTTGCTCAGGTTCGTTCTTACTTTACGTTTTAACGTTTAGTATAGATTTCTCAGATATGAGATAATTTCCCGCAGTAAAAAGTATCCTATATGTTGACTCGGATAACCAGCTATCATCATACCAAATTTTGTCAAAATCCCTCCAGTAGTTTTTCCGTGATGCGGTAACAGACACACAGACATACAGATAGACAGACAAAAATTCTAAAAACTATAGATTCGGCCTCTGTATCGATAATAATGTCTATTTCAATAAGAATTTTCAAAAGATATTTATTATACAGATTCGGCTTAGTTACAATTTTATTATATGTACTAGCAGTAACCACGGCTTCGCCCGCATCCAAACTTCCGATTACTAACAAAATTCACAGGATCACCCGCTGAGCTAACCTGAAACTTTTATCAAAATCGCTCCAGCCGTTTTGGGGTCCATAGGAAACATACATACACACATCGATTTTTATTTTATTCAATCAACAATTTAATTTTTTTTATAGCTCGGGAAATGGAGTCTTTTATGAAAATTTAGTGACACACCGACTGCAGCACCATCTACTGGATCTATTTGTGAATTCAAACCTTGCAGGGACCTACTCGAACATACACAAAAAATATCATTAAAAATTATCGTCCCTGCCGTTTAGATGTTCAGTGGCACAGCGACTGCAGCGCTACCTACCGGATCCATTTGTATTTTCAGACCTTGCAAGAGCCCATTGAAGTATACACACAAAATTTCATCCAAATCGGTCCAGTCCTTTAGGAGTAGGTTAACTAACACACATACAGAAGAATTATATATATTAAGATAGATAAACAGTGACAAAATTCACCGTTTTTACTCTTTATGTCTATACTTGCGATAATGTATTCATTTATTTTTATAGTGATTATTATTTTGGGTTCGCCAATTCGTTCAGTACTCCTCAAGATCAGCGCGCGGGATATTTACTATAGCATTTTTCACGACTGCAGCATCAAGTTATGAATTATATCAATAATTTTGTTAGGTTTAATAGAATTACGCTTCATTTATAAAGAAAATACTAGGTATGTTTATTTGTGAAAGTTCAGTAGGTAGGTTCACTGTGGAGTATAGAGCGTAAAACGCTGTCGAATATATTATACACATAATATGACTTACCTGGAGACTGTCGATCGGTCTATAATTTGAATTGTACAGTTCATTTCTGGGAACAAAAGTATTTAGAATTAATGCAATTTTTTATTGCGAAAATCGAGAACTAATATGTAATATAACTATGTAATACACAATGTAACTTTCTCTAACTCTTACTGAGGTCCAACACGCCAAATTAAAGTGGTCCAGTTTCTTTTATTCGAAATTTGGAAAATTTGTGAGTTTGTTTGTAGTATTGAACCGATTTAGATGAAATTAGGTAAGAAGATAGTAGTTTGAGACCCCGGGGAGGACAATTTTATGCCGGAAATCATATCTTAAGGGGGTGAGAATGGGGATGAAACTTTGTATGGAAAATCTACCTAAGGACGATCGATAATAATAGGTACGAGTATATTTATAAACAGATACTATGTTCCTTCTTCAAGTTTTTCGATCGTTTTAGTTCGCCTATTACGCAGTCGGATTTTATGAATTCTTACAATATAATTTAAGATTAGTTATATCGTAGTCGTTTCAGAATGCAAGTCGTATGTTTTGGAATTTATTGATGATGTTTTATTTACCAATAGTCAGTTATATTTCCCCGAAGTATTAAATATTCGAACAGCTTTGAAACACTTATTAACTAATGACTGCTTAGAAAGAACATTTTTTTTTGTAAAACTTAACGGCAGAAGTGGTAACTTTTTTTGTCACTAGATGGAGCATTGTTCGTTCCATACAACGTTAACGTTATCGCTAATGATCGATTTGTAGAATAAATTAAAAACTAAAGAAAAACCCCTACGCAAATTAATTGTCATTTAACGATTACACTGGCACGTGTGAAGCACTTAATCGAGTAATCACACGCCAAAATGTCTTACATCATTTTGGAAAAGAGCTGAAACGTTTACACTGCTGGACCGATATTAACCAAACATAGCTAAGAACCACGCAAGCAAACTGGCTTTCAAATGAAAAACTGCATCGAAATCGGTCCATCCGTTTGAGAGCTACGATGCCACAGACAGACACACACACACACAGACAGACCGACTTATAACGCCCCTCTTTTTGCGTCGGGGGTTAAAAATAGCACTAGACTACGGTAATTTTATGCAACATTACCGTGACCAGACACTGGACCGCTGCTAACATAATATAATAAAAATATACTGATGTATGCCAAATTCATTGGCGTGCTCTGTAGTGTCGTCATAAACGACTAACAATAAGATGGATTTTAATTTTTAACATATTCGATGTCCTTAGATTTATCTTAATTATAGAAGTGGCATAGGGCATAAAATTTTAAATGAGATATTCGCTTATCAAATTAAAGGAAAAAATAAATATAGTAAATACAGTTTAATATTTAAATTATAAGAGTAGGTATAAAATAAAATTAGTTATAAAGCAAATTCCAAATATGTATTTATATATTGTAACATTTGTATAACATTACACAAAATATGTTATATTTACATTTAAAATATCAGACATTTTTTTTCTGTTTTTAACATTTTACCTATTATCACTGTTTGCTTGATTTGTGCTTTTGTACTGTGATTAGTTTTGAATACGTGCTACTTTAAAAAAACTGATATAAATGATCTAGTTGCTTAATATAAAACTATTTGTTATATTAGAAAACAGATAATAATTACATTATTAAGCGTACCTCAAATATAAAATTTAAATTAAATTTATTTACTATTTAAAACGTACCTCAAATTTGCATTGATCTTTGGGCGCGCCTCGTACAAGGATATGTTAATCACGCCAATGAAAATAAGTATAAAAAAAGTATACATAATTATTGACAGTTGTTTCTTCTGTTTTCAACGTATCGTAGCAGACTTACTATATTTATATTAATTTACTATATATATTGAACGTTACTAAGAGGCAGGTTAAGCTGATAAGCGGTAATGATAACCTTTTAAAAATTTATGTATTTTGACTATCTAGTGCCTGTGGCTTCACTTTTTCGCTTCCCTTCGTGTTATTTGTCAGTGCATACTACATACGTGTCTTCTGTACATATAATAAAACTGTCGAATGTTTGTACTTATTTTTTTTTTGTCAAAACTTAGTCAAGGGGATGTAAGAAGAGAAAAGAGAACAAATCCAGTTTATTTTCAAATTTTTTGTATCTCTGACAGTTTACCTGTTTGTACGGGCTAATCTCCGAAACTGTTGGACCGATTTAAATGAAATTTTGCATTGTGACACCTTATATCCCCAGTCAACATTTTATATACTTTTCATCCGGGAAATTTAAAGAGTTTCCGTGGGATATATAAAAAACTATAGTAAATTATACAGCTTAGAACACAAAAGCTACTGATTGGATTTTAATGAAATTTTACAATAATATACTTAGTTCATACATTAGTATAACAAATAGGCTAATTTTTATTCCGGAAAAATGTACGGTTCCCGTGGAATAGATTTGCTTTTGTTTGTTTACAGGCGAACCCGAGGGAAGCGAGGGTAAGCCGCTAGTGTATTTAATAAAACTACTCTCAGTATTGAGAAGAGACCCATTGAAATCGATCCTGGTATTCACAAGTGATGCGAGACAAACACAAAACAGTTCATGTCCTTTTTGATCGGATTTTTTTTAACAAAAGATGATATGGAATTGGTGCTAGCAATCGTCCCTACTTGTGCGTATGTTTGCTGTATGTTTACTCTTTCACACTAAAACGGCTATCACGCATTTAGATGAGTACACAAATAGTCTGTGAGCTGGAGTAATACATAGGTTACTCTATTTGTTAATAATAAAATTATTAACAAATAACTATTGTTAATATTAATAAAATTTCAAAAATGTGGCGCTGGTTGTAGATAATAGGATAAATATAAAAAAACACAAACATAGAAAAGTGAATCGAGGGTAAGTCGCTAATCAAGCATAATTCAATTAATAGTAGTAAACATAATTTAGTTATACTAGTTTTAATACATAGTTATGTGTTTCTACAAAAATAAAATATACTCGTAGAACAAAACATTTTATATGATATAATCTAAAAGGAAAAGAAAGTTTGTTAGTGCAGTTTAATAATTATGTACACTATTGTTCTGGCACGACTGGTTGCGCTTGGAACAAGAACCGATCAGCAGACGAGTTTTGGGTTTTTCCAGAATTATCGTTTCCCTCATTTACATTACCATAATTAGGTAGAGGTGAAGTTGATGTCACTTTATCTTGATAATAATAAATATTATTGTGAGTTGTCATTGTGTGTGTTTGATCGTTTTTATTAGATTCTACAGGAGATTCATAAATAAAGTCATCATTATAAGTAGGTGAGGGTTCTCTGTTATGAGGTGGTCCTTTATTGGGCGGTGGACCTCTATTTGGCGGAGGACCCCTATTTGGCGGAGGACCCCTATTTGGCGGGGGACCCCTATTTGGCGGAGGACCTCTATTTGACGGAGGACCCCTATTTGATGGAGGACCCCTATTTTGTGGTGGACCTCGATTTGGCGGTGGACCTCTATTTGGCCCACGATTTTCATCAAAGTCATACGAAAAGTCTTCTCGGGGGACTCTAAGAGGAAATTGATTTTCATTATGTAATAAATAAAGATTGTTCGGCGGAGGCGGTGGTGGTCGTACTGATTCACGTTCTCCATATAATGAATGTAGATGAGGAGTATATGACCAATAATGCGATGGCCTAGAAGATCTTTCTTGATAATGTGACAATGGTTCGTCATAATATGAATAACGAAAATTTGATTCTCTTCCTTCTCTTTTGGTCCTTTGGGCTCCCGTAATTTCTCTATCGTTATTCTTTAAATATAACACTTTAGTAAGCATGCCAGGGAAGATACTAGCTTTAGTATCCAGAAGTGCAATATATTGATCTGCAATAGAAATATTTTATATTTTAATATGTTTAAATATTATGTAGTTTATATATACATTATATCAAATACATAAGTATACTTTGCGAAATTGTTATCTTTATTATTACGGTATTTTCACTAAGTTGTTTACATGTCTTTAATGAACTTGGGAAAACCATAACCATTCGTCATAATATAATTATCTTACAGTCGATTTTAATTTTATTTAACTTTAAATTAAAAAAAAAATGTTATAGGTATAAAATGATTTCCTATTCGCTCTTATTTCATGAGTGTAGGATGTATGTAAATAATAATCCTTATAGTATTCAACATTTATTCACTATCCATATATTTTTATAAAAATCATTAGTTGCTCGCGGCGTTATGAGCTTTTACTTATTTTTTTTTCTTTATTTTAACGTTTTCCATTAAAATCAATTCTTTTTTAAATACATCAGAATTGTCAGACAATATTTGATCTCTTATCTCACGGGAAACTTTACTTTTCCTGGATGAAATGTAAAACTATATATAATATATCGAATAATCTAAATCAAGATATGATTTCTTGCATATGACAACTATTTACTTGAACAAAAAATAATATACATATTCATTTAGCTAGATACAGCTATCATTTTATTTTAGTAGAATATCAGAACAGCAGACTAATTAAAATAATATCTTTTTATCCATATCTCCATATTTCGTATAAATATTATAAAGAGGTTGAGTGAGTACTTAGTATTTACCTGTGTCAAAATGTTTTTCACCAATAACACATTTTAAAACGACACAGAATGTTACACCGATATTTATCAAGTCCACACTTTTCATTTTAGCTCAGACACAGTAAAACTTCTGACGAAATAGTCATTTTAACACATATCTTCATATCACTGGAAAATATTGAGTAAGACTGGTTTAGCAATAACATCTATCATTTTGCTAAACCGGTTGTTATTCGCTGTTTTTGTGTTCAGAAAATTATTGACCTCATGGACGTGGACATGGCGCGTTCTTCGTTAATCCATTCTCATAATAAAATCTTAGACGTCATGTTTGTCCGTTTAAATTTTTTAAATTCTCTTTGAAATAAGCTTTATTTGTATTACGGTTAAGAGCGTTTTGTATGAATGTTGTTTGTCTGCCTATCAGTATATTAATTTGTTAGCAGTAGCTAAAGGATGCATAATAATAATATTTTTTTTGCAATAATAGTATGCACATCCAAGTAACATATCGGTTATTTTTATATTGGAAAATGAAAAGTTCCCCGACAACAAACTATTCCTAATTACTTAAACAATCGATATTGATATAAATTAGCATTGTAATTCTTTAGTAGTTAAGTCATTGTTTAATGTAATTTAATCGTGGGGATTAAAGAGGTTCCGCCGGGAATAAAAATATAGATCTATGATTTTTTAAGCCGAAATTATTAAATGAATTTAAATCAAATAATATAATATAGTATATTAAAATATTAACTAGCAATTCACCTAATTATTAAGCCATAAAACACAAATTTAATTTAATTTTTAATTAACATGCTGCCTAGGTTCCAAAAAAAAAGCAAAAAATTACCTTTAATTTATTTTGTGGTACTTCCCGTTTTTTTTATTCGAATTGTAATCTTTTTTCCATTTTTGTGTATTATTTAATTGTGTTAGTGTATTTTATTATTTATTTAATTTAATATTTTGTAATAGTAATTTATTATTGTAACATAGATATAATATAAACATTTTATTAAATCTCCAAATTTGCATGTGGTATTCACCTTAAAAGGTAGTGCAATTAGCTATAAAAACTTAAAAAATTGTACTCGTATATAATAAATTGTATTATTGTAATTAACCACTGGTGAATCTAATAAATAAATAAATAAATAAATAAATAAATAAATCATTTATTTCAAGCAGTATTTACAAAAAGATCTGAAATGTGTAAATAGAGGCCCATAACATATATCTTAAAAACTAACATATATATTAATTTTAAAACTTAAAAACTAATTAACACGTAGTGTAGACAAAGTATACGCTTTTTATCGTAGATATTATAAGAGTTCCCTAGAGAAAAGAAAAGGTAGTTTTATAGAAAATCATTTATTATGAGAAACTACTATTCGTCGCGTGCGTGCGTGGAGTGAGTCTGTCGCTCGTTGTCGTTGAATAAATATGGCCGAAGACCTTTACACGCGCTTGCGGCGCTAATTGATTTGGACAATTTAGTGTATGTACCGGTCATTGTGAACTTGAAGTGTGGTGGACGATCGATCCTCATGGAAATAAGCTACACAGCATCAGCAGGTCTTGAGCACCTTCCTCAATATATAGAATTGCATCTCGCCTTGTCATCTCCCGCGCAGTTCTATTATTCCTTATTTAAGTTGCATCAATCAAATATAGGTGTTGTGATAGCAATCGCATATTAGCATCACCCGCGCAAACACTATCTGAATTTTAAAGACCCATCCAGAGGATACCCCACACGCTTATATAAACTTAAAAAAATCACCCTATATTATTAAGTGTATGGAGTGCAACCACTATTTTTTTATTTTTAGTAAGTTGGCTATGGAATTGTCTAGCGGTTTACGGGAAACACCACCTGCCTGCCAAATTTCAACTATAGAGCTTCAATAGTCTTCGAACAAAATGGCTGTAATGTACAAACAGAAGGACAGACGGAAAGTTGGACAGTCGAATACGACGAAATTCTATGCGTTCCCTTTTAGTTTTCAGAGTACGGAACCCCAAAAAGCCAAACACGAATCGCACGCTACCAATCCGTACGTCAATATCCGTATCGTACTGACCTTCGCAGGCTTGCATAAAACAACTCGTTAGTTTGACTCACACTATTAATTTTAATTTTTTTGCATAATAATAAGATATGTTACTTACGAAGTTGTTGTTGTTGTGTGTATAGAAAAATACCGTAGGTAAGTAATGTACATTAAAATTGGCATCTACAACACATCCAAAGGATTACTTAAAAATTTGAAGATTTTGAGAATTTGATATTACCTATGCGCGTAGGCATCATTATTAAATGATTATCAACACTGCTTAATATTATGAATATTGAAAGCACATGAATCGTCATGACGCAATCAAGCAGAGCACGAGCAGGACATTAGTTAAAATATAACGTAATATGTACATAAAAAAATTCCTATCTGATTCCGGTTTAAAAAACCCACAGCAATTTAAATGTGGAAAAGTTTATATCTTAATATTTAAAATGTACATTTATCTGATTTATTAAACTCTTAGGTATGTAATTTTTATAAACATAACTTTTAATTAGAATTAAAATCGAATAGAGAATGGCTAAATATTGTTTGTATCTTGTTGTTCCGCAATGACGTAAAGTAAGGCTGGCTCGCGTAAAGTGAAATGTAAAAGCCACTTACCTAATGCTGAAAGCAGCGACGATCTCATTCGGGGCGACAAATTGAGAACACCTTCCGGCGTCGCCGCAGCCGCGCCGGCCGGTCTCTGGTAAATAGCTATTTATTGTGGTGTACACTGAGACAGCTGTCTCCTACACGGGAAATTAGAGTAAAACTGCCACCCGTTCCTGCACTAAACTAACATGCCTAATAATCAGTTGTGTTATACGTAATACAAGTAAATTAGTATTAGACTGTAGCGTGTTACATAATTTCAGAGCGATAGAAAATATTATTTTAATAGTACAATTAATCTAACATTGTGTAAAATAAATATTATTTAATAATTTGAAAATCTTATTTTTCGTAATTATTTACTTACTAACTAAAAAAGGTTCCGCTACTTTAAACTGCAACAAAATAATTATTTCACTAATCGGTAGGTTCATTAAAAAATAAGAAATAAGATCTCGCTAAGATATAGAAAAGACTTAATTCTTTTATATAATATGTTAGTTATAGCGCGTAACAAACATAAAAAAGCAGTCATGAGGAGTGAGAACTGCCGACAGAAGTGAAAACTAAGAACTATAAATAAACAGTTATTATTTTTGGATATTCAAATTAATTGTTTGATCTTAAATTAAAATTTGTTAATTAAAACTGCTTACATTTATCTGGTTTTGATATCTATCGTCACTCTGAGTGTTAGCGTTAACATGTCACGTGACCATGTCGATGGCGACTTACATGGATTTACTCCCTATCCAAACCTGCCTATAGAAGTTTTCACTTCAAAATACAACCGAATTAAGAACCTCCCCCTTTTAAAAGTTTGGCAAAAATGCTCGCACAGGTTCCAAAGGCTTAAGCAGAATATTCTATTATATGATATCTATACATATAATAAAATTGTAGAGGTCGCATGTCTGTACATAGAAAGAAAAGCTAAACACCGAGTCAGGGGGATGTAAGAAGAGAAATAGAAGTTTTTTTTCGTTTCTCTGTCTGTTTGTACAGGCTATTCTCCGAAACTGTTGGATAGACTTGAATAAAATTTTGCATAGTGGTACCCTATATCTTCGATCAGCATATTAGATTAGATACTTTTTATCTAGGAAAATTAATATTATCCCGTGGGATAGTTAAAAACTATATTAACTTATACAGCTTAGTATACAACAACTTATGCACCTAATTTAGTAAAATTTGGCATGCCGATACCTTATATTGCTGGTCAAAGAACAAGTTGCTTTTTATCCCGGAAAAATGAACAGTTCCCCTGGGATAGATCTGTTTATGCTTTAATAGAGACGAACCGAGGGTAGAGCGAAGCGAGGGTGAGCCGCTAGTTCTTATTATAAATGAGTAAAAAAATTATATCTAAGAGTTTATCTATTTTTATTTTATTCATTTTTAGGCAAACCAATAGTATTACAATACATAAGATCTATATAAATAAAAATGAATGTTGCTAAGCGCAAATTTTTATGATATTGCAATATTTGATTTTCGGATTTCTCTTGGTCCGGAATAGGATAATAAGTATTAAAACATCAGAAAAATTAACAAATAAATTAAACTTTATGTGGTTAACGCTGGCTATTAACTATTTATATTTAAAACGTACCTAGCGACGAACCCGAGCGAAGCGAGGGTGAGCCGCTAGTGTACAATAAATATATCTCTACATACATGTACAAATTAAGTTTTCACAAGAACTCGTACGTAATATCAATTAGCATAATATCTATCTCTCTCTATCTATCTATCATATTTTGAGAGTATTGAGTTTACGCCATATAGAAAAAATGGTAGGAAGATAATTTATCTTCTTAGCCAGTGTTTTAAAACACAAAAACGAATATATCTACGAATAAAAATAGTACTTACTGTATTTGGTTATATTTTGCATTATTATTAATCTTGACCCTATTTTGCGTATAGGCGAGAAAGGTGAGTCACTTTAATATGGAAACACGATGATTTTCTCCGGAAACCCATGCGTTATCCCAGTCGTTTGTTAAGCTCTCGAATTATGTTGCGCCCGAGGGAGCTCTACAGGGAGTAACACAAAACAAATTTTACTTTTTTGCTCAGAAATTTACTTTCTACCTGCCTGGGCACGGTGGGTAAATAATAGTCTTCTTTAATACAAAACAGCAATTTAGTGGAATGGTTTTAGTTTTTGTAAGCTGATTGTAAAATGGTTGTTTACAGAAAAACAAATGAAAATGAAAATTTATTTTGTTGAAGTGTAAAGTTACGATTCAGTAACAGATAATATTGGTATCTAATATGCTAATTTTTTAAAGTTATCAATGTATTTAAAGGTAAGCAGTTATTAAGTCAGAAATAATAAAAATAATAATTTATATGTGAATAGATATACAAGCGGTGAGCCAATGCATACGATTTTTATAAATGGACAAAA